GCCGTGCCCGCGGCGCCGCTGCAGGATGAAGTAGCAGCTGCTCTTCTGAGTCACCCACAGCTTCAGGGCGTTCTTCAGCAGCACCTCCTCGGGCTTGAGCCACATCTCAGCGGTCCGGCCACGCCCGCGGGCTCCGGCTCACATCGCCCCGGCCACCGGCCGCGCCGGGCTAAGCTCGCTCGGGAAGAGGCCACGGCGGGGGCAGCTGCTAGCCGGTGCCGGCGCTCGGAGCGTCCCGGGAGCACGGCTGGCGCAGTTTAACCACCGCAGCCCGCTCGCCGGCCCCGCCCACAGCCCCATCCGGGCCACGCCCCTGATCCGCCCACAGACCCGCCCACGGCCCGCCCGGCCCGCCGCGCCAGCTCCTGCCGTGCCTCCCGCGTTTCCGAGTCCCCGCCGCTCCAGCGCGCAGTTCCGGAGTGGAGAGAGGAAGTCCCATCCCTGCTGCCAGGTCCCCCTCCGCTCTGCGCTCGCGGGGAATGCCGCGGCCTTTGTCCCTCCTCCGCCCCTCCTGGGAGGCAACTTCGGTTGGCACCTTATTCTGAGCCGAGGGGGAGCGAGGGAAAAAACCTCTTGTTCTCATAGCTGCGGGTTGCCCGACCTGGGGCATTTATCTTTGGGGGGGACAATGCACGCCAGAAAACCCAAGTGTGTTTGGAATGACATAGCACTTAAAGTAACATGACACATTTTTACAAATAACCCCAATATAGCATTAAACATTAAAAACAATTCTTTTCCGATTTTTAAAAGCTTAGCACACGATTTTGATGTTCTGGCACAGGATCCGACGGAGCTGCTGAAGGGGCAGTGACGCTGTTGAACCCTAAGGCAAGTATCAGCAAATTAAACACCGGATGCCCCTCGTGGGTGTAGAAGATGCAGATATTAGGGCCCTCCTGCTAGTCCCCTACGCAGGAATGAAACCAGTCATGTTTGTTCTGAGAGAAATGAATAGCTGGGAAATAAGGGGTAGGTGATAATAAGGAAAAGCTATAGGAAATGTGGAGGTAGGCTTTTAAAAACGAGTATTTCTTCAAAGCTGGTGTAGAAATAGACGCATGGTAGCTGGCCTTAAACAGGCTGCGGGGACAGAGGTGAGGGGTGTGGGAAGGTGGGGGGCCTCCAAGCCATCACTGTATGGAGGTAATTCAATCCAACACCCTAGCAAAAGAGAGGAAAGAAAAACTCCACCAGAATATCCCTCGAATTTTGACAAAGGGATCCCTGACAAAAGTTGACTTAATTCGGACAGAACTGAAAAGGAGAAGTAAAGTGAATCTCCCATGGGGCACCTGAAAACTGAGTGACACCTTTTCACTGGAGACCGAGGAGGATCAGAAGGGACCTGCTCAGAACTCCAGACCTGACCTGGCATATAAGAAGCCACATGAAGGTCCTGGGTTCAGACAAACAGGACCACCCACCCCAGGGGCAGCAGCAGCTGTGGTCCAGAACTGGCAGGCCATTAACAACTACTCTCTGAGTAAAACTGAGGAAGTCAGCTATAATCAGGAGGACTTGAGTACCTCAGAGCAAACAGAGCCCTCAGGGGTGGCAAGAAATACACTTTCCAGAAACATTCACTGACACCTCCCCTGTCGGCCACCCTGGCAGGCCCTGGAATTGCAGAGATGAATGGGAGATGGTCCTGTTCTGAAGAACCCACCAGTAGGCAAACAGGCACAAAGTGTAGTAGGAGTCATGGTGGGGATGCACAGAATGAAGAGTCAGTTCCTCAAGGAACATAGCTTGCTACAGAAAAGCTATGACTCGACCAGAGCTTGGAAAATGGATATGTGTTTGCCACAAAGTGAAGGAGTATGTCTGGTAAATAGTTGGCATTGTGGTTTAGGGCACACTTCTGGAGACAGACTGCCTTACATCAAATCCCCGTTCCTGCTACTAGTTAGCTTGCAACCTTGACCTTGGGCAAGGTAGGCATCTCAGTGAGCCTCAGTCTACTTAACTATAAAATTGGGATAATGATAGTACTCTTTTTATAGGTACTATCCAGTGTTTAATATATTTAAGTACAGTACTTGGAATGCACATAAGCACTCAATAAATGTCAGCTATTTTTACTAAATGCACAAAAGTTCCTGGAAGTGAAATGATTCACATACACTCACCCATATTTTAAGCTCTTATTATCTGCCAAGTATTAAATGTAAAATATATAATATTAAAGCAGATGAGAAGGGTACTTTCGGGTACTGGACCTGACCTCTCTCTCTCTCTTCCAGTCCCTGAGGCTCCTGCATGTGCCTCCCAGTAGCCAAGTCAAATAGGAGCCGAAAGGCAAGGGAGCCCAAGGAATGTGGCCTGCAGAGATATGCCTCCTCGTGGAGAAGGTTGAAAAAGGATCTAGAGGGGCCAGTGGAGAATATCCAGCACTGGTAGTAATAACTCCCTACTGTCCCTCGTTTCTGGATGCTCATCATCCCTTTTTGGTGTTATGGGTTAAATTGTGTCCTAATCCCCATTACTGCAGAACGTGACTTTATTTAGAAACAGGGTCATTGCAGATGTAATTAGTTAAGTTACAATGAGGTCAGTATGGTGGGCCCTAATCCAATATGACTGTCATCCTTATAAAAAGGGGAAATTTAGACATAGACACGCACACAAGGAGTACACAATGTGAAGACTGGAGTTATGCTGCCACCAGCCAAGGAACTACCAGAAACCAGAAGAGGAGCTGGAGCAGGTCCTTCAGAAGGAACCAACCCTACTACTACCTTGATCTTAAACTTCTAGCCTCCAGGACTGTGAGACAATTTCTGTTGTTTAAGCCAGTCCTTTATGGTACTTTGTTATGGCAGTCCTAGAAAACTAATACAGTTGACTGCCTAATTCTGCACATACCTGTTTAGTAGCAAGTGTCTGGAACCATTCTGAGTTGAATTTTGTGGCCCTAGGAAACACAATTCTTCAATTTGGAATTCAGGATAGGTTACTCACATATCAGTGCATGCATAGGGAGCAAAAGGGATGTGGTAATCTGTGACATACAGTAGCAGTAGAATTACTTAACCTAGCACTGGTGGTGGCATGAGGGGCAGAAGGACAAGGCTTGGGGGGCTCTTGCTGCTGTTATGCTTGATTGCTTGATTGCTATGGCAATGATGATAATAACAAAGATTATAGAGGAAGGTAGCTGTTTCTGACTGCCCTGGAGAGTTAAAAAAAAAAAAAGTGTGAAGTATTAAATTCCCATCTCAAGATACAGATATGGTGAAATTCAAAGTATAAATTTGCTGGTATAGCCGCAGGATAGATGAAAGGCATCTTCAGATACGAATATAATTGTTCAGGGGACAGAACTGTTGCAAAGGTTAAGTGCTCACTCTCAACTAGTTCTCTTGCTAATGTTAGACGCTGGTTGGGAAGGAGTAGGATCATGGACTTGCAATGGGAATAGTTGGACACAGACAAAGTGATAATTACGCGATGCAATAGAGTGCTACAATGGCAATTATACTGCACATTTATAAATGTATCAACACATTTTACACCTTAAACTTATATGGTGTTATATGTCGATTCTATCTCAATTGTTTCAAAAAAGAAAGTTGGATGTAGATACTTAAAGGAAAAGGAGAGAGAATAGCAGAATTATTACAGAGATTGATAAAATCATCCAAAAATTATCAGAAAAGTTATTAGAACAAATGTGTAATAGAGAAAACAGATAAAGTCAAAAGTTAGACACTGAGAACTTAATAGTCTCTAGGAAGACTGATCAATACAAAGAGAAGGAGAAAGGGAAAAAGAAGGAAGACTCGAAATAGAGCTTCATAAATACAAAAAATAATCATTGCAGTTTCTAGAGATACTGAACGCACAATATTAATACAGTTGACCCTTGAACAATGAAGGGGTAGGGGCAGCGACCTCCATATGGTCAAAAATGCACTATAATTTTTCACTCCCAAAAACCTAAGTTGCTCTTTGGTATCCATGGGTTTGGTTCCAGGACCCCCAGGAGATACAAAACTCCATGATGCTCAAGTCCGCTATATAAAACAGCATAGGTCCATACATACAGTCAGCCATTCATATCCACAGACTCCCAACGGTGGACCAAAAACAGTAGATATTTACAGAAAAAAAGTCCATGTATAAGTGGACCTGTGAAATTCAAACCTGTATTCTTCCAGGGTCAACTGTATTTAT